AACTAAGATAACTCTCAGGCTTCTAACTTGGGTACTAATTCTGCGATCATATACTGTGAGGAGATGGACCTTAATTTGCCTCGGTAAAACGAGAAATCTCCGAGAGCCTTTTCTCTCTTCCCTGCCTTAGATCTACGTCAATCTCTCCATCTGTCATCAGATACATCCATTTATTCCTGTCTCCACGTATTTGTCATATATGTCTATCTTTTTATCCCAGTCAACTTCATTCTGCAAGGACATACATGCGCATGATGCTCTTTGCATTAGACGATCTCCGTGTACCTCCATTTTTACTCCATCTATTTCCAGTTATCACCGTTGTCTTGTCACATGTTATCTGTGAACGCCTCCCCATGCGTTAGCAGGTAACTGTTAACGTAGAAACATATTACCCTGTCCATGGAAATGTGTTGATAGCAGTGACATTTATAATTATAATCATAGGGGAGCGCTAAACCCAGAGGATTACACAGCGCATATGGGGGGGAAGGGGGATGGAAGGCATTCAGGCTCAATTCAGGGAACTGGAGTACAGATTCAGTTCCCTAAATCAAGAGCCCCTCACCAACATCAAGGAACCTCCCTTGAGGGGATAGCCAGTGACATGATACCCGCCTGTCCTCCTTCATTACCATTTATTCCCATCACTCCCACTGTACCTTTTTTTTTTTTTATCTCCAGTATTCCTCATTCCTGTAGCCGCTAAATATCTTGTTATCTACTGGCTCTATTTAACTCCCACACACCCATACTCACACACACTAAAACTACAAAATTGTATGTAAGTTTCCAGAGTTCTTAGTCACTTACCAGAGCGGCCATTATTTAAACACAACAATCGCTAACGAACAAAAATCTAGCAAATGCTAAAGTTTATGGAATCAGAAGACATCACATATTTATCTGCTACTAAACATAATGTTTAAATAAATATATTCGGAGATGCATCCTTTTTTAAAATGAACAATATTAAAAAAAATTACTTTTATCTGGAATGATTTTATTTCGAAAGTCTAATTTATTTTTTTTAGAATTATTAAATGAAATTACAGGAGTAATTAATGTCTTCTTTATTAAACATTATCAGTCTTTACTGTGGTTTTTATTTTAGGTATTAGTAATACTATTCCTTGACTGACTCGTCTGGCTCAGCGATGTTTACCACACTGATGACTACCTCACTGATGACTACCACACTGATGACTACCACACTGATGACTACCTCACTGATGACTACCTCACTGATGACTACCTCACTGATGACTACCACACTGATGACTACCACACTGATGACTACCACACTGATGACTACCACACTGATGACTACCTCACTGATGACTACCTCACTGATGACTACCACACTGATGACTACCTCACTGATGACTACCTCACTGATGACTACCTCACTGATGACTACACACTGATGACTACCACACTGATGACTACCACACTGATGACTACCACACTGATGACTACCTCACTGATGACTACCTCACTGATGACTACCTCACTGATGACTACCTCACTGATGACTACCTCACTGATGACTACCTCACTGATGACTACCTCACTGATGACTACCTCACTGATGACTACCACACTGATGACTACCACACTGATGACTACCACACTGATGACTACCTCACTGATGACTACCACACTGATGACTACCACACTGATGACTACCACACTGATGACTACCTCACTGATGACTACCTCACTGATGACTACCTCACTGATGACTACCACACTGATGACTACCACACTGATGACTACCACACTGATGACTACCTCACTGATGACTACATCACTGATGACTACATCACTGATGACTACCTCACTGATGACTACCTCACTGATGACTACCACACTGATGACTACCACACTGATGGCTACCTCACTGATGACTACCTCACTGATGACTACCACACTGATGACTACCTCACTGATGACTACCTCACTGATGACTACCTCACTGATGACTACCTCACTGATGACTACCACACTGATGGCTACCTCACTGATGACTACCTCACTGATGACTACCACACTGATGACTACCTCACTGATGACTACCACACTGATGACTACCTCACTGATGACTACCTCACTGATGACTACCTCACTGATGACTACCTCACTGATGACTACCTCACTGATGACTACCACACTGATGACTACCTCACTGATGACTACCACACTGATGACTACCACACTGATGACTACCACACTGATGACTACCTCACTGATGACTACCTCACTGATGACTACCTCACTGATGACTACCACACTGATGACTACCACACTGATGACTACCTCACTGATGACTACCTCACTGATGACTACCTCACTGATGACTACCTCACTGATGACTACCTCACTGACGACTACCTCACTGACGACTACCACACTGACGACTACCTCACTGATGACTACCTCACTGATGACTACCTCACTGACGACTACCTCACTGACGTCTACCTCACTGACGACTACCTCACTGACGACTACCTCACTGACGACTACCTCACTGACGACTACCTCACTGACGACTACCTCACTGACGACTACCTCACTGACGACTACCTCACTGACGACTACCTCACTGACGACTACCTCACTGACTACCTCACTGACGACTACCTCACTGATGACTACCTCACTGATGACTACCTCACTGATGACGACCTCACTGATGACGACCTCACTGATGACGACCTCACTGATGACGACCTCACTGACGTCTACCTCACTGACGACTACCTCACTGACGACTACCTCACTGATGACTACCTCACTGATGACTACCTCACTGACGTCTACCTCACTGACGACTACCTCACTGACGTCTACCTCACTGATGACTACCTCACTGATGACTACCTCACTGACGTCTACCTCACTGACGACTACCTCACTGACGACTACCTCACTGATGACTACCTCACTGATGACTACCTCACTGATGACTACCTCACTGACGTCTACCTCACTGACGACTACCTCACTGACGACTACCTCACTGATGACTACCTCACTGATGACTACCTCACTGATGACTACCTCACTGATGACTACCTCACTGATGACTACCTCACTGATGACTACCTCACTGACGACTACCTCACTGACGACTACCTCACTGACGACTACCTCACTGATGACTACCTCACTGACGTCTACCTCACTGACGTCTACCTCACTGACGTCTACCTCACTGACGACTACCTCACTGATGACTACCTCACTGATGACTACCTCACTGATGACTACCTCACTGATGACTACCTCACTGATGACTACCTCACTGATGACTACCTCACTGATGACTACCTCACTGACCTCTATCACTGATGTCTACCCTACTGATAGGTACCTCACTGATGATTGCTTCATCAATGTCTATCTCACTGATGTCTAATTCCTGATGTCTGTCTCATCGATGTTCACCTCCATCATATCTTCCTTAGGAAGACCCCACTGATGTCTAACTTACTGATGCCTGCCTCACCAATGTCTACTTCAGTAAGGTCAACATCACTGATGTCCGCCTCACCGATGCCTACTTCAATGAGCTCAATATCACTGATGTCTACCTCACCGATGTTTACTTCAGTGATATCTACCGCACTGATGTCTACCTCAGTGATGTCTACCTCAGTGATGTCTACCTCATAGAGGTCTACCTCACGGAGATCTACCTCACGGATATCTACCTCACAGAGATCCACCTCACAGAGGTCCACCTCACAGAGGTCTACCTCACAGAGGTCTACCTCACAGAGGTCTACCTCACAGAGGTCTACCTCACAGAGGTCTACCTCACAGAGGTCTACCTCACAGAGGTCTACCTCACAGAGGTCTACCTCACAGAGGTCTACCTCACAGAGGTCTACCTCACAGAGGTCTACCTCACAGAGGTCTACCTCACAGAGGTCTACCTCACAGAGGTCTACCTCACAGAGGTCTACCTCACAGAGGTCTACCTCACAGAGGTCTACCTCACAGAGGTCTACCTCACTCATTATTCACAGATTCGATATTAATTTTTTCTTCTGTATTTTACTTCCATAATAGTCTCTCATGCTGATATATTTCCTCTTCTCTCTTCCCTTCATTTCCTTCGCTGTTCCATTGTTCCTTCATCTTTCTTGCGTCTTTCATACTTTGCTGTATTTCTCTTGTTTTACATTTATTTTATTATTCCTTTCCTGCTTTCCCTGTGCTCTTTCCTTCTCTGTTGCTTTATTTCTTCCTGTTCAGTTTTCTTTTATTTCTGCTCATTTAATGTTTTCCCTGTTCTTCCTTCCTCACTGATTCATTTCTCTTTTCCTGTTCCTCATTTTCTATCCTTCTCTTGCTGTTCCTTATTTTATCATTCCTTACCTACATTTCCATCATGTCTGTCAGTTACCTACATAATGAATTCCATCAACACGATTCTTCCCTCCAGTAATACTGCTGATCACATGATGACTATATTGATGATCTCTGATGACGTGATGACGATGAACTTCAAGAGAATAAGAATAAGTGTTTACTAATGGTGATGACTATTCTCTTTTAATATACTAGCAACTGATGATTGTAACTCCTGATGGTGATAAATGCTGAACGTGATGACGACAGCCGCTAACGTTGACAAAGCGGATGATGTCCCATGAAGGTGGTAATGTCCACCAACCATAGCAATGATCCTTGATGGTGAGACTCGATGGCAACGAAAAGTGAACAACGATAATGAACATGAGCATCCCCGTGGCGATAATGACCGTTGATAATGAAGAGAAAATACTCCCGTTATTGACCCGCATTCACAATTACTTATCTCCTTCCCTGCTGATATTATCTAACCCTAAATAACGATCATTCTTCCCTGGCGATGTCATCTTCATGATGATGTCTTATCTTAATCCCCCTAATGTTGATAACATGCCCTCCCACTCACTGATATTGATGCCTTAGAGATATGTTCTAACAATAAGATCTTCCCGCAGCATCCAGCCTTCATGATGATGACTACTGTGTACCTGGTGTTCGGCCTCGCTCTTACTGCTATGTGCATCAACATTATCCAGGTGAGTGTGTACAGGCTGGCTAACTGTTTAACTCTCACACAGGTGTGTGCAGGCCAGGTTACTGGGCTGACGATCAGGCTGTTAGTTCCCAGCCGCCCGCTGTCCAACGTATGCACCACAGTCCGGCTGATGTAATTGAGAAACTTACCGAGTAGTCCCTTGAAGACAGGGATATGTTGGCAATTTCCCTGACACGTATGGGAAGGGTACTGAAGATTTTTGTGGTCCCTTTACACTTACTTTCTCTCCCAGTGTATTTTTCATTAGGGGTATGATACAGTCTGCCAAGCCTCTTACTTTTTTTATGTGATGTTTTGGTATGCAGGTTTGGGGTCAATCCATCCAAAATCTTCCAGGTGTAGCTTATGATGCATTTTTTATCGCCTACGTTCTAAGGAGTGCAATAAACAAATAACCCCCACATAGAAAAGCCTATGACGTTTCGGTGTGACTTGGACTATTAACTAGTGACACACTAACACACGAATGTAAGGGAACCAGTGTATATATACGAGAGGAGGACAGGAATTATACAGAGAGAGGAAGAAGGAAGTGGAGGTAGTAGTGGTAGAGATAATGTTGGTAGTGGAAGTAACAGTAGTTGAAAAAGACACCAGTGTACCGTTCAGGTAATTTTTCTACAACATCCACAACCAGTATATAAACAAGTGTACTTAGCTAACAAGTATATAAACTTGTTAGCTAAGTACACTTTCCGACATAATAATTGACAAGGAGGGTTACTTAGGTTTTGTTGACAGCTCAGACTTCTTGCAGCCGCGGTTCAAGAAGTCTGCTTCGAATGAGCTACGTTCTCCCACACAGCTGTAGAATGACTAATAACTAGTTAAAGATTATATATTTTCCAGTATAACAATTTACTGGAGTACGGTGAGTTACTCGCCTGAGTTATTGTAGATGGTCTGCACCTTGTGACCTAGAATAGTCAGCCCTAATCACTTTGTGTCTACCTATGGGCTGCAAGTGCATATTTGGGGGATACAAGTGAGAATAGGACCTACCTTGCTCTTGTAACGGGAGCATGTGGTGGTGACTGCGTCACTTAGGCCGAGAAAGGTATCTTGATAGTAGAATTATAATCGAGGGGAAGCGCTAAACCAGTAGTATTATACAGCCTGTGGGGAGGGGAGATATTCAGGCTTAATTCAGGGAACTGGAGCACAGATCCAATTCCCTAGATCAAGAGCCCCTCACCAGCGTCTTGAGAGTAGAATATAGAGGTGTCACGCTGGAAATGTTCGTTGCAGTCACTCGCAATATAAGTTACACACTAATGTCATTCACTATCACTCGCTTGTGAGTTTTGTGAAATTTTCCACAGTATAGAGGTTAAACAACATTGTTTCGGCACTCCCAATGTTTACTCGAGAAAGTTACATGGATACGCTAATGAACACTTAGTTCTACCGCACATTTCCCGACTCGTATTAGTGAACTAGTCTAACTTTCCTAGTGGAGATTGCGCAGTTCCTCATCCCACAAAGGAAACGCTGACTTCAGCTCTATAGACATTGCTGGCTCTTGCAACAGACTTCATCCTAGAATCTCTTTCTTAGGATTCTAGGTAGGTTTCAGGAATTTTAATACCCCGAGCTTGTTTATCATGTGAAGCATATTTTTCTTCAAATTTTTCCTGATATGGGGAAATAGTGTTGTTTTAGGTTTCCACTTGTATGTGTAGACCAGGAATTCTGGTAAAAAAAAGGCGTGGCTTGGCGATGCCAAGTGTTGCAGGGTAAGGAACCCGTGATGTTTCCGGTATAAGAATATTCCTGGCCCTTTCTTATAGGGATATTACCCCCCCCCCTTCTAGAGGGGAATATCGCCCCTTCATAAACTGGAGATTTATCTCCAAACCGGTGGTCGGCGGGAAGTTCACTGTAGGTGAACTGTTTTGATTTTCTTACTGACCACCACAGCTGATTGTCTTTTCTTAACTTCAGTCTGTGGGGTTTCTTGCGAATCACTAAGTTCGTTTCAACAATAATTCTAACGGCAGTAGTTTATCTATTGTCCGTTTGTTCACTACACCTTTACTCAAAACTTCAATTGTCCTGATGGTCACCATGTATGGTCACTATTTTTCCAAGAGGCCATTGACACCTTGGACCATCATTGTCAATAATCACTACGTCACCAGGTTTAAAAACGTATGATTTTCAGGAACTCCAGCTCCACAGAAGTGTTCTCTCAGTGAAGTAAGATAGTTGTTGAGAAATGGGTTTACCAACTAAGATATAATTTATAAATTTAAATATAGGGAACACTTAGCTGATAAAAGACAGCAAATCGTCTACACAGCCGCCCCTGCAGACGAGATCTTGAATTGTCATGATCATCTCTCAATGGGCTGGAATAGATCATAATTTGTAAGATTATAAATTACCCCTAGGGGGTGTTATGTCAGCATATTTCATTCACTGATGGCTGACAAACTTACTTGTGTGGACTCAAAAGTCCGCACCTAACTGCCGACTGTAGGTTGATTACAAACTCCTTGCGACTCAAGAACTGTGCAGTCCCCCGTACAAGAAATTCGTAACCTACCTTGCTCTTGTAGCATGAGCTATGGTGTCCTTCACACCTTCGACAGGTATCGGTGACTTGATAGAAGCTGGAGTGTCCTTGGATGTCCACATCTTCCATAGTCTAGGAATACGCACACTGGTACACTATGTTCCACAAGATTTGTCTTTATTGTTCACAATCTTATCACTAAAGAAGCTGATCACACTTCTCTTAAGTGTTTATTGTATTTTATGAGACACTTTGTTCACACTAACGCACAGATCGTTCTTTGTTGGTTATCCTGGCGTCAGTGTCACTCTCAGTAGAGTCAAAAGTAATCTGAAGACGCCACAGCACCCCACGCCGTTACTGCCCCTTGCACAAAGGAAAAGCTGACATAGTACTTTTGCTTCCTTGCCACTTCCTCGATGAAGCAAAGCAGAATGTTTGATTCTTGCTGTCTTAAGCATAGACAACAATGTCCACTATCTTTACTATGGTAATAAAGTGGGAGCAGGATTTTCCTTAATTGTCCTGCTAAGGTAAGAGATGTACTGTCTCTTATTAAAATACACTCTGCAACACTGGACTGCAAGGAGCGGCGGTCGCTTGACCACGTCGCATACTCGTACTGCATCTGCGATCAATTACTCGCTGTAGCAGTAAACAAGATATTTGCCCCCTTCTGAGAGGGCTGGGCCCCTCAGGGCTGAAGGGGGCTGATGCCCCCCTCCTGGAGAAATTTTCTCCACAATAGTCTTCTCGCCAAATTTTCTCCCAACGTTCAGTCACATTACTGAGGTGTTTGAATTTACGTCTGAGTTGCTCAGGTTCTTCATCATTCATAGGAGGAACTGGTTCGAGCCTTCTGCCATCGAATAAATGAGACTGGATGGCTTTATCAACACAATAAAGATACACAGATGTTGCACTTGTGTCTAATTTTCAAACAGTACTAGTGCTTTAAAGTTAAGAAAGAAATATCACTGAGAAATATAAGCAAAGTTTAATTGACAAAATGCATTCTGATTTCGCATATAAATATTATATATCCATAAACTCTTTCTCCACAATAATTTGAACATTGGCATTCCATGATACACACATTGCTTGTTATCTAGGCTACATATACAGCTTTAATATTCTAGGATTCTTAACTCTTTTTCTTCTAAAAGCCTAATATGGTCTATAAGATAAGATAAGATTTCGTTCGGATTTTTAACCCCGGAGGGTTAGCCACCCAGGATAACCCAAGAAAGTCAGTGCGTCATCGAGGACTGTCTAACTTATTTCCATTGGGGTCCTTAATCTTGTCCCCCAGGATGCGACCCACACCAGTCGACTAACGCCCAGGTACCTATTTGCTGCTAGGTGAACAGGACAACAGGTGTAAGGAAACGTGTCGAAATGTTTCCACCCGCCGGGAATCGAACCCGGGCCCTCCGTGTGTGAAGCGGGAGCTTTAGCCACCAGCTAGAACCAGCTAGCCAAGTGGTTACCCTACTGACCTGTGGGTTTTAGGACTCGCATGCCATGGGTTCAAATTCCACTCGTTTCTTGTATATTGCATATGCATGTGTCCTGTGGCTCGGTTAGTAAGTTTATTCAGATTAACACAAATACAGTTACATAGATTATAATACATAGCAGCATATGTGTAAAGAACCTAGGATAACCCAAAAAAGTCAGACAGTGATTTATTTCCATTGGGGGTCCTTTAAAATTTATGCCAATAACATATGGTGTTCCCAGGCGGTCACCCATCCAAGCACTAACCTAACTCAACGTTGCTTAAGTTCGCTGATCGGACGAGAAGCAGTGCGTTCAACGTGGTATGGCCGTTGGCCGATGATGGCTCACATACTAAGTGCCCGTGGTTTGATCCCCGGCACAGGTGAAAACGTTGTCCCTATTCACCTAGCACTTAGTAGATGCCTGGATGTTAGTCGACTGTTTTCGTCGCATCCTGGGGAAAGGGACAAGATTCAAGGACCTCAATGGAACTAACACGGACAGTCCCCGATGACGCACTGACTATTGGATTTTCCTGGGTGGTTAATCCCCCAGGATAAAAATCTAAACAAAATCTCATCTTATGCAAGCTTTCCCTTAAACTCTCACGAGAGAGAATTTTCTCTAATGATTTTCGTTTTCTGTGACAGGAGAAGTTGTCGGACACCTTCCGCCATGCGAGTGAGAAACTGAAGGAATCCTTTGGTCACATCATGGCCACGGCCACCCAGGGTGAGGAGGCAGCTCTACCAGAGGGCAAGGAGGTGGAGGTAGCAGAGGTCCACGGCGGCAAGACCAAAAACTCCACAGATACCGTCACGGTCAAGAAGGAAACATAGCTTATTACTGACGACACAAACCAAATCCTAGTGTAGTTGTAAATAATCTAGTCGTGATATTTTTTCTTGGCAAAGAAAAATAATTACAGAACATGCCTTGTTGCTTATTTAAATCGTCAGGAAGAGAACGAGAAGAGATTGCTAGGCGGTCTAAAAGTTGATGAAACTCGAAACTGTGACATGTGTTCATTTTAGGTACGCTGGGTCACGTGAGTTCTGAAGATATGAGGAGCTTGTTAGCTGCCGCCATGCCAATAACTTCTGGACAAAAGCTTGTATTCACCTTGGCTGATGGCCACAGTGTTGCCTCAGAATATGCAGTTTATATCTAAGTCAGTATTATGCTCTTACATATTTAATTTTGTTTGAAAATAATGTTATGGTAATCACACTTAGGTGATTTTTAAGTGACTCCATCAGGCTATACGCGGAATATGTTAATAAATAATATATAAAAATATTAATAATACATGTTAAGTTTGTTTTTTAAGAGCCAGAATTGTTCGAAGTACTCAGGCTTTTTGTTAAGGAATAATTCAAGTTGGTATAGGTAACATACTACATCTGGTTGCTGAAGATACACAAGTTCATAATTTGGCCATGGCAATACCAGCTTCGTGACTGTTTAACCCGAGCTCAGTAACTAGTGGAGTACTAAGAGAATGGATCATCACTAATTAATCAGCCTGGATATAACTGCGATAAAGTCGGTATTACAGACAATGGCACAGTCATATAACACCTGAGAGAAATTATAGAAAATTGAGAATGACCAAGAATATAATGACAAGTTTGAGAACCACAGAATGCCACCGACAAGGGGCCCAGGTAAAGACTGCCATGATGCTACAGTTTGAGAGAACCCCAGTTAGACACTACAGGCATATCATAAATGGTCATGAAAGCCACATTACTCAAGCTGAATTCATGACAAACTTTTGTAAATAGACGTCCATATAAACTTACTGGTACGCTCAAGATTACTTTAAGCCAACGCTGTTGATTAATATTTTGATTCATATGACTAACTGTTATTTTTACCAAACCGTTGTTGAGCACTTTTCCTTACGCCTTAATTTTAGGATTTTTTTTTTTTTTTAGAAAACCTGACAGTGTGATAATGACATTTGTGATTGGAGTTCCTATATAAATTATCTATTAACTGTTTTAGTAGAATATACTGAATAATATTTCTCTGATGTAAGTTGCTGGTAACTCAGCGGATGAATAATCACTGAACGGGTAATTATCTGATTAAAACCCACATCATGAGAAATCATTATCATGGGGGAGCGCTAAACCTGAAGGGGTTATACAGCGTCTTGTGGGGGGGGGGGATGGAAGGCATTCAGGTTCAGTTCAGGACCTGGAGCAGAGATACAATTCCCTAGATCAAGAGCCCCTCATAAGCGTCAAGGAACCTCCCTTGAGGTGATATTGGAAGAAGTATCCTTCATATGATTAATTAACCTAGTCAGATGACTCTGTAGTTATCGTTAGCAACTGCCTGTGGATGAACGCAGTATTTCAACATACTGACCTATAATAATCATTAACAGATCAAAAATACCTTGGTAAAAGGAATTGGAGCTGCCTTCCCCTTAAACGGATTAAACCTGATTACCACCCATTTTCCAGGTGCTGTATAACCTTACTGGTTTAAAGTAACCTCACGATTATAAGTAATCCATCGATTTTACGCCTTTGTTAACTAAATTCTGTCCAATGAAAAAATGCCCCCCCCCAAAAAAAAAAAAAAAAAAAATTGAGTATAAAGTTTATATTTCTTGAAGTACATAATGGATCGCACCAAAAATATATTGTTCTCAAATGACTAAATCAAAATATATTCTACGACTGAAGAAAAAAAATCTCGCTCCATTTGAAAGTTGTAGCTTCACATGTTGTTTAGATATTAGAGCACACCAGAGCCCCTCACGCTGCTTTGCTAGCAAGCCATCTCGAGTTTTTACTCTCATATAGAAGGCACCTTGCTCTATAGTCATCTGTCAGGGTTCACGCCCTCAACCTCCAGCCTTGATGAAGTCACACACTAATAGTTCAAGTTCATCAAATAGTTTGGCTCCTGATCATAGGTAATCCATTAATCCCATTCTTACAATCTTTTTAAAAAATCTCGTACATGTGGACTGTAATTTAATAAAATATATTGAAATTCTGGTAAGACTGAAAAAAATAATTTCTGAAAACTCTAGCCAATAAACTGCAGCAAGTCACAATACCATGGCTAGAAAACTTTACAACTGACCCACACTTTAGAAAACTGTGAAAGAATCATAGATGTATATTCCATTCACGTTTTACGAACCATCTATAAGTTTAAATTTCATTGTCAGTCTAGAATAATAGTTTAACGATTTATATGCAAGGTCTAAAACTCTTTTTAGACAATATATAACTAAAACTAACTTTTTTTTAAGCTTCCAGGAAAGATCTAATTTTACTACTCGTTTCTGAGAAGTTTAGCAGTTCATTTGACAGATGTACAGCGACTGTTTGATAATGGTTGATATAAGAGGTAGGTGTGTGTATGAGAGAGAGGAAGAGGGGAGAGGAGGAGAGGGGGAGAAAGAGGGAGGAGGGAGAAAGAGGGAGAGGGGGGAAGAGAGAGAGGAGAGGCAGGGAGAGAAAGAGAAGGGGAGAGGACAGGAGAGGCAAGGGGAGAGAGGGAAGCAGAGATAAAAAGAGAAAAACATTGGAGAGAGAGTGACTGAAGAGAGAAGAGAAAGAAAAACAGAGAAAGCAAGGGAAAGAAGAGAAAGAAACGAGACAAGGAGAAGGAATCATTTTATAATGTATAAAAACTAATGAAGTTCAACCTAAATGTACACTTGGAATATACTTCTCCACGTCTCCAGTCTAATGATTCCTTCAAATTAATAATTCTAGATATTATCTTAATTTTAAAAGGGGTGGACAGGTAAGCCAGTGGAAAGTTCGGTCAGAAGACCAAAAGCTCCAGTGGCAGGTCATCATACGACCAAGACCCGCGTCAGGAAACATTTGTCCTGTTTCCTGATCAATCTTATCTAACCTAACTTAACCTTCAAATTTCAGCCAAGCGCGACTATCATCTTCACAAATCTTGTCTTCAGAATTGTGCGAAAAAGCATATAACCTATAAATGGGTAATTATTTTTTATCAGATCAAACGGGAAACAGTTTTCTACTTATCTGTTAAACAAAGTTGAGTAATGCATTTCTAGGCCTTAGTGCAGCATTGTTATTAAAAACAACTAATTACTTAATTAAAAATTACTATTTCAATCGGAGAAAGTTTTAGTCACACTAGAATCCAAAGTAAATCCAGTGTAAAACTTACAGTAGAGGAGTAAGACATGTGCAACAGTTTGGTTATCTTTATTGTTGAAAATAAAGACAGAAAAACTGACAACGTTGATAAAGCAGCACCTCAGATGATGGTGATCTCGACAAACTGTAAAGAAATTACAGTCGAGTGTTTATGAACTTAAGAGAGAAGGCAGGAGTGCCAGGCAGCCATGTGTTGTATATGGATTGTCTGAGTAATATATAACACCTATGATCGGTTAGGAGAATTATTCCATTCTGGTAGTCCGGGTGAAGGGCAAGCTACATTATCAGACCTGACACTTTCCCCAGGTAGTGCAGTGACAAGATGTTCGCACTCTTTAATTAATCACCACATACGGATTTTGCTACAACTGATCACGCGTGAATATTTCTTCATACCACAAGTCGTTTTATACATTCAGAAGGACAAAGACCTTGCCAGTTAAGCTCTCATTAAGCACACTCCGTTCTACAATAAGTACAGCACTTAAATATGGTAAACATTTGGCTTTTATCTTTGCTTTAGTATGACAAACGTGTCCTTGAAAAAATCAAAGCAGTGTGGGGGTCTGCCCATTGCTCCCAGCATTACAAAGACGTGATATACAACATTATTAAAAAGGCTCAAGCTTTTCTACTCGTTAATTTTTAAGGCATATTTTGTGGTTAAAATACATGTTATGAAATAGTGTTAAGTTAGTTTTTCATAAATGTTCTTTATTTGTAAAATAATGTTGTTTACAAATTTTGAATAGTGCTCAGTATCTGTGTTTTATGAGCCATTTATTTTATAAGGTAGTTATTGACATGTTTGTCCAGTATTATCAAATACCTTGTTAACATTCTGCCTTACTTGGTGCTTTACGAACTAACAGACAAATATTGTAAATTAAGGGTTCTCGCACGAGATTTACATTCAGCATCCACGAGTGGTCATTCATTCCTTGTATCAAAATATTATAGCTTTTACATTTCGTATTTATGGCATCTTCGAGATTGCCTTGATATCCCCCCCCACACACACACACACGCACAACTTACCATTATGTTAATAGCTCCTATCTCAACTTAGATGTTGAGATAGGAGCTATTAACATTATGAATCCTGATTATTCTGGCTTAACTGCAATACGTTGATCATGTGATAGAGGTGCCTAGGGATTTGTGCTTAGAGGCCTCTCCAAAACAATTTTCCTTCTCAATATTTATTTTTTTTCTGTAATGTCGCTGTTGATATTAATGGCAATTTTATCAAAATATTACACAAAGCATTTACATGAGAAATATTGTTTCATCTGAAGAACCCCATCATATACATGGTAACAGTAGACTATTCCTTCTTCCAGAGTCAGTTTATTCACCATCAGTTTCTGTAAAATATTACAAAAGGGTGTAAACGCCTGTATTTACGGTTAAAGTATTCTCAACGGTGGTAAACAAGTTACTTGCAACCTTAATGACTATATGTAGTCGAAAAAGCCTTAAGCGAATTAGCCAACCAACTTGTATCTGCATATTTGTTTTACCTACATAATCTAGGGTTTGTTCAGCTCCCATACTAATGTTGCATTATGTATATCTTTCTTCACTGAACCCCGGTGAAACACACTGGCCTGAAGATATACCAGGCAATACCCTATATTTTATACGATGGGTGACTTTTGTAATGAGTATTGTTAGTGGGTTGTATTAGTTTTTTTAAAGGTAAACAAGAGCGAGTAGCAGTCCACACGTAAAGGCCGATTACTTGCTTTCCTTAATTTATCCATGGATTGAAGATTTTACAAAATCTGCACTGTCGGCTTACACCATCGTTCAACCACTGCCCGACTCTGCCAGTCACTGTTCAGCAGTATTTTACTCTCAGCTAATATGTCCACACTCTCAATCAACCGAAACGCCATCACATGCAGTACATCCTCCTAGATCATCTCACACCCACCATGACCACTCATAATACCAACCCACACATTCACCCACTATATCCATTGTCTCACATTATCTTCGTCCATCCACCGAGACAACCATTGAATTCTCTGTACAACATCCATCCCTTTTCCCCTTTCATACTTATTCATGTGTTCTCAACCCTTTCACCAGCAAACACCGTCTACATCTCCGGCCACTCGTACATTCTACACCTCTATCATGCAGTTTTTTTTCGCGTTTTAATGGTGTTACGAAGATCTTATAAAGTGTCACAAATAAATTAAGAATCCTATTTTGTTTTATTGCCTCTATGTTTCCTCTATTTATCGTATTGAATAATTTACACAAAAATTTTAATTTAATAACTGCAAATTATTCAACAGGTTGGGTCCTTTAACACAGATGCTTTAACGCTGTGAAGTTCTTGATACAAGGAATCGGAGCTTCCATTCATCAAATTAAATCTGAACGCCCTTCCCCATTTTCCAGGAATTTTTCTCGTTGGTAGTGTACTCTGGTAGAACACTATTTCAATAATAATCAAATCTTACCGACCAAGACTTACATAGATCATAGATGTAGAGACCTGGATGTGAAGTCCTAATCTGCTTACTAATAAAATATTTCAAAGACCAGACGTTTAGTCACCTTTACTCATCTCATAAATTTTTTGCCCAAAAAAAATATATATACAGTTTAAACAAATGACATGTTTATACTAGAAATCTGAGGTATGTAGGCATGATCAAAATTATTTTCAATGTATACGATTACCTACAATCACCACCCACGCTATAAAACATACACAGAACAGGTGTAGCCGGCCTCTTCCCTAAAGTCCTGCCAACAGGCTTTATTTTTAAATTTAAAAGACGTGGGACCTCGCATAAAGTAGGTTTTCTTGCTTATAAAAAATGGAATAAAACTAACTTTAGTAAATGATGGATACGGGTTTAGAGCTTGATTTGAATACAATAATTAGACTAACCTATAAAATTAAACTTTTTATGCAGTACAGAAACGAACTATGATGCCCTGATCATGAGCCTCAGTGTTAGTCTATCACGTAAGGTTTCTTTCAGATATGATCAATATTTTGGTTATTTAAGTTCGAAGAACCACATGATTTGTTTCCTAACAATAATAGGTAATATATTATACTTAAATATTAAGTGTGATGCATGTTGTGATAAAAACTCATTTCTTAACGTAAATTTGGTATTTTTAAATGCATAACAAAACTAACAAATTTCCATATAGTCAAACATGTATATCACAGTTTTCAGGCTTTTTGGCTTGTGTTCAATATCGCTCTCCTGCACCAGTTTTCAGAACTAGTCGACCATCAAACTTATCTTCAGGTTTCCCTGGTATCTCTTCTCCATGATAGTCATGTCTTGGTGAAATAGTTCACCGTGTTCGTCACTAACGTCACTGAAGTTAGGTGGAAAAAAAATTAAGGTGAGAATGGGGGAGATGAGTTTTTTTTTTCTTATTCGCCGGTACTCTCCCGGTCCGGGTCTTTTCCAAGTAGTGGTGACCCGGCCTTAGCTCCCTATCTGGGAAGTGTCTCGAGACCTAAGTCTCCCATGGGAGGAGGTACAAGCCACAGTCCCCGCCCTCACGGGACTCGTAGGGAGAAGCTAGGCCTCTGGTCTGCCATCTGCCCCGCCCCAAAGGGGCTCGTGGGGATGGCAGTCTTATGAGCTGCAGGTGATAACAAGCTCAGGCCTCTTAGGGGAGATGAGTCTTGAGGGACATCCGACATCCCAGTATATATACTGTTGATTGCTCTTATATAGTATTTCAGTAAACATTAATATGATGACTGACAAAAATCCTGCGCAACTGTTTTTGAATATCAGCCATGATCTCAGCTCATCATGGAGACTTATCAAAATGAGAATCATTTAGTAACTTCCGAATTTGAAATCAGATGACTATTGTGGAAAATACTGTATATATTTTCCGGAAATACGGTAATTTATAGGTAAATAGATGCCCTATATTGTATTTTTAAAAGAAGTATGTTATCGAAAAAATGAAGAGACTCGCCATTGCTGTTTGAACTGGTCAACTGTTAGTGAATATTGGGAAGAATTTTTCGTGCTCTAGAGGTTAAAATTGGGCTGACACCTCTCAAATAGGAGACGAAAGTGTTGGATGTGCATTCCTGCATAACTTGAGATATCAGGCGACTGGACAAGACAGCTCCAGGAACCTCAGATAAGTCTGTTATGTTTAACTCTGACCAGTGTTATTTTCATAGAGAGACAGTGAGGTTTTCTGAGTATGATACACATTAATCTCCAGTCAAATTGGTGAGTGTTATGATTAAGATATATTCTACTTCTATTGTATAAATGTGTGTGTATATATTATATAATTTATTATTTTTAATATACAGTCCACAAATTTATATATTTACCAGCATTCCTGGTGATGTATTTTTCATTTGTAAGTAATAGGTCCAGAGCAACTTGTGGATATGACAGTGGTAGGTATCGAAGGGGAACATTTTCTGCGACCTAGGTGTCCCAAATTCCTACTTGTCTAACTGATAAATAATAATCAATGTTCATTTACTGTTATGTATATAATGCATTCAGATAAATGCAATTTTCCACATTTAATTTTGCACGTTGGCCCTT